GTTCTAACCTCTCTCACACAGTTGGTGTCTGAAGCAGAGCCCTGCAAAGACCATTTCAAAGGCATTTGGGGGGAATTCAGGCATCCCTGGAGGATTTTTTCTAGTTTTTAGATTTTTCTGCAGGCACTGGCAGACTACTCAATATATAGGAAAAGCTCCTGAGCCAAACGGAGCTTCCTTTTCCTGGGACTAAGGATCCGCACGGCGCCCTCTGTTGGCTATTAGAATATATGATATGGAGCAGAGGTCCATCAGTGGCTATTAGCTGCAAGGTATAGATAGGAACTCTCGGTCTGGGGCAAGTGATGCTCTGTATTCTTGGTGCTTGGGGGGGGGGTAACAGTGGGAGGGCTTCTAGTGTCCTGGCCCCACTGGTCGACCTCCTGATGGCACCTGGTATTTTTGGCCACTGTGTGACAGAGTGTTGAACTGGACGGGCCATTGGCCTGATCCAACATTGGCTTCTCTTATGTTCTTATGTTCTTATGAGTTCTCTTTGAAGTAACAGGATGAAAGTCCACAAACTAGGATTACATTAGGTCATAGATATTGTGTGCCTTCTGGTATGGCCAAGTCTTTGCATTTCTTGACACACACACACACACTAGCTTTCCTGAACACATGTAATGAATGTCTCTTGTACCTGGCATATTCATTGCAGGTGTAGGAGCAGAATGTAGTAAGTGATTACAATAAGCAATTCCTCCTCTTAAGATATTGCTGGATGTGATTTCTTTTAATAGCTGGGCTTTTCTTGCCACAGGTGCACCAGACCCCACTGCAGGGGCTAGCATTGATGATGAGAATTGCTGGCATTTGGACGAGGAACAAGTGCGAGAGCAGGTGAAGCTGTTCCTCTCCCAAGGAGGGTACTATGGCTCTGGGAAGCAACTGAATTCCATGTTTGCTAAGGTGAGAACTCCCTTCAGCATTCTATTCTTTTCAGCTCTCTTTCTGCAGGAGCTCCAGAAATGTTCACCCCTTTTCCCTTTCTGGAGACTGAGCTGGCATTGTCATGATTTAAACCGGACTCTTTTAATAGCCTCCAGGGGTTAAAGTGAATACTACAGGAAGTGTCTTCTGTCCTTATTCCCAAGTATTTTGCCATTTTGAACAATAGATGTTTAGACATGTCCACCCAGAGGAACAAACAGAAATGAACTGAGCATATGTGGCACTATGAAATGAAGACAAGTAGCCACAAAATGCTATGGGATCTCAAGAGGTATTCTTTCCCATCCTCCCTGCAATATATCAGAACCATCCCTAATCTCTCAAATGTGTTATATTATGTAAGATGCTCAGGCCATTTGTGTCCGTACGCTCACATGTATGTGTGCTGAACCATACAACCAATTCTCAATACATGCTAGAACTAAGTCTTTAAGCCAAGAAACTCTTAAGGAGACTTAAAATTGAAGATAACCTCTTGTTTGTGGTAAGTTTAATAATACAAAAGAGCAGGATGAGGTGCCCTTAGTCCTATTAGGGCAGTGTCTGTTGTGTCTGTGCCTCTTGAGTGTTCCCACTCATGATAATATCTTGTCTGAGGGATGTAAAGACCTACTGAACATACTAAACAGTGTGAATATTAACAACCTGTATTAACCATCACCTATATTTTAATGAAAACAAACTATTTTTATTTAATAGAAAGTTGAAGTTAGTGGGCTTAGAAGGGGTGTGATCCCACGTGTTGAGATATCATTGCTCTTTGCTGTGTGCTGCATTTTGATCACAACAAACCAAAGTTTGTTAATGATATGAACTGAAATCCTTGAGTTCATGCACTCTGTCCTTCCTCCTGATGTTCACAGAGCCATGTTTGAAGCTTTACTGGTTTAAGAGGTCTATTTTAACTACATGTTATGAAATCCATATTCAGATAGTTTTAACAGAAGTTTGCTCCTTGCCCACAAAGCGGGAATAAACCGTAGTTCAAGATCCCAGTTGGTGGGTGTTATGGAAGCAAGAGGAGAAGGTGCCTTTCCTTGCAGCAAAACTCCCTGAGACAAGGGGTTCCCTTATAAAGCACCACTCTCCTGAGAACTCAGCTGTCCCCACACAGAGATCTTGTGAGAACATCCAGACTGACCCACTGTGAAAGTATCTTCGAACACAATACTAGACCAATAACAAAGTAATGGGGTAGAAAATACATTGTAACAAGTATTTGGAAAATAGTTTGTAACAAACTATGTAGCACCCATGCAATCTACCACATTAGGAAGAGATCAGGAGAAATATCCCAGAGAATTTGATTATACTAAGTGAAGCCAAATAATGTCTTTATAGAAATGTATATTATAAAAGATAGAAAAAGAGGGTAAAGGGTGGTAGATTTAAAAAGGGGGAGTGGAAAAAGGGCAAAAGAAAAAATACAGGAAAAAGGAACATAATAACACTATGCACAGACTTTCAAATAAAAAGCAATACAGTTGATCTAACTCAGCTAAGTACACATTACCTAGGCTTTACTGTTAGCCAAATTGCCTCATATCGCTATTTAATATGGGGATTTATGATCTTACACCAGGCAATAGGCAACTGCGGGGGCGAGCATCTATGTATACAGGGGTTCCGCTTCTTCCAGACACACCAAAAACCAGGCGTTGAGACTGACGTCAGTATAAGATGGTTTTGTTTACTGAAGGTATTTCAAACATACAATAACACAAGCACACAATTATACAGCATCTAGGAAATATTGTTTTATTTATTTATTATTTTAATTTATACCCTGCCCTCCCCGCAAGCAGGCTCCGCAGATTTAGAGGAGGATAGCACATTTGCATTAGCAGGATGTTCCGTTGATGGGCAATACGTTACCTGTTCGCAGTTAAATGGAGCAAACCTCAGGAAAAGGAGGGGGACTATGGGGTGTTGGGGAAGGGTCGTGTCCTGAACCAGCAGGGGCCCGAGAAGACTCTGGCTGTGCATCCAGGAGTCAGAAGCTTAGGGTGGGGGTGGGGGTCAAGGGGGAGAGATTGCAAGAGTGCAAGTAAGCAAGAGAGAGAGAGCTGGTGTTGGGCCCTCGCTTTTATTAGGAGGGCTAAGCTTGACCACCTCTCTTGGCACACCTCCTGTTAGTCTATCCCCAAAAATATGCTGACTGGTGCTGGGGTCGAAGGTCTGGGGAGTGGGCAATGTTAAACCTAATGAGAAACTAGCTGTGGTTTCGACTAGGTGACGTATTAGGTGGGGAAAAACATGTTGCCTACGTGCAAGGAAAGGGGATTCTTCATGGAGTCTGGGTCCCCTATCTTCTGGCCCGGCATGGCAGCAGCCTGGCTTCTTAGTGCTATACATGGCTAAGGAACTGGTCCATCTTATTGCAGGTAAGAGGGTTGGTGACATACAGGAACCATGGACACATCATCTCACAGGAAGGCTTCCTTCTTCTGGGTGCGTGTCTGTGGCTGGCATCATTTGGAGTCACCTGACAGTTCAGTCCCTTTTGGACAAAACTAGCACAGATCAGGTTTTCATAACTTATGAGTTCATAGAGGTGCAATAGGGGCCTCATAGGGCAACATTACTGGGTTCCTCAGAGCATGTGCAGAGTTTCTTGCAGTAACAAGATGTTGGAGGAGTCTTTAACCCCTACCCAGCCTCCTGTGGACTCCAGTTTCTTCTGAAGATTAAAGACAGGAGACAGGAGAAAATCCCAAATTTCCAGATACTTATGGTCAGTGGAATTGGGTCTAAACCAGCCTCCTCTTTAAGAGTGATTTTGCCAGTCCCATACAAAGCACCATCTCTGATGTCAGAGGCTACTGTTACCAATCAGAAGATTAGTGAATGATAGTCCTACCCTTCAGGTATCTGGCAGTGTTCCCTCTAAGCTGAGTTAGTGTGAGCTAGCTCACAGTTTTTTAGCTTCTGGCTCACACATTTTTGTCTCAGCTCAGGAAGGATGGCTCCAGAGCAAACTAATTTATGCAGTAGCCAAATCACTCGCTCACAGCTTTAATGCCAGTAGCTCACAAAGTAGAATTTTTGCTCACAAGAACCCACAGCTTAGAGGGAGCATTGGTATCTGGTACTGGCCTTGAGCTTCCATGACAAATAAGAGGTTTGTCCAAAACCAGATTGTCCTTTATACAAAAAGGATTAAATCTGTCAGGGTGGCCCAGTGTGGCATGGAAATAAATGGGTTAACCTAATGTAAACCCCAGTTGTCCAACATCCCAAAATAATAGAAATCAAGGGCATCTAATGAAACTGGTGGGCAGTAGGTTCAGGATGGACAAAAAGAAATGCTGCTTTACACAGATAGCGACTAAAATATGGAATTCACTGTCAGAGGATGTACTGATGGCCACAGGAATAAACAGCTTTAAAAGGAAGGTTAGATAGTCTATCAATGGCTACTAGCCATGGTGGCTGAGGGGAACCTTCATATTCAAAGGCACTAAGCTTCTGAATCCCAGAGCCAGGAGGCAACATCAGGGGAAGGCCTTGGCCTCTATGCCCTGTTGTTGGCCCTCCAGAGGAACTGGTTGGCCACTATGTGAGACAGGATGCTGGACTAGGGCCCCGTTCACACGGAGGATTTGCTGCGCTAAAGGCACGAATGTCAGGCGGATTTTCGGGGCGTGTTCACACCGCAGCATCTGGGAAGCGTAGCGCACCCATGGCGTCCCGCTGAAGATGTGCAGTAAAAAACTACCTTGGAAAGTGCACTAGTATCCGGAAAACGCGGGGCAGGGGCAGGCGTCTGATCGCGGGAGCGCAAGTATCCCATGGCATCCGGCACCCATCCATGTCCCATCGCAAACCGGATGGTTTTTGTAAGCGCATGCGCGCAAACACTTAACTGAAAGCAGTGATGCTCCGCAGAACTGCTCATGCGCACAAACGTGAAATGCTTGCCATGCTGCTTCTTTGCCAAGCTCCAGCATCGCCGTGTGATCGCCAGCTAACAGCCTAAGCGCGAAAACTCGGGGGACCGTGTGATCAGGCTACCACACTTTATTATGCTTCGGGGCAAACAGCCACGCCTCCCCCCACATTATCTGGCCCGTGTGACCAGGGCCTAGATGGATCATTGGTCTGACCCACCTTGGTTCTTCTTATGTTCTTATCCCATATGCTGTAGGTGGCACTCTTGAGCCTTAGTAAGGTGTTAGCGTTTCTGTCACAATGGGTAAGAAACAAATTTCAGAACTGACTTTTGATGCACCTGATTTCAGACATCACAACAATTGTGGTTAGATTCAAAACTTGTGGTTAAAGTAAAAATAAAGCTTTCAGTCTCAGTTCTGTATTGAGGGGAGGTAGATGTGAGCTTGAGGATTTCATGCTCATTCTAGTCATGAACAAATTGTACGTCAATGATGTTTGAATGGAGTACTGGAGTTTCTGAGAAATTTTTCCAGTCTTATTTTAAAGCTTTCACTTATGTTGAGTACATGTGTTGCTTTAATAATTTTTTTCATAACCTATAGAACAATTAACTGAAACCTTCCTCCTTCAATAAGAGCTGTTTCTTTCCCTCTCTTGGTCCCTGATCAGCAATGTTTGTTGAAATTGTGCTTGTTTTCATTAGCACAGTATGCCAAAAGACTTTTTTATTCATTAAGTAATAGCGGGAAAGTCTTTCCTGTATGCACTGCATATTTTCCTTTTTGATACTGAGAATGGGAAATAAACCAATGCTTAAACATATCACTAACTCTTGGGTGGAGGTGGGAAGAAATGTAGGAGCCCCCCCCCCCAAACCAACCAGTGCTTGTGCTCAGTCAATAGAGTGATAATGAGATGGTCATGGATAATACGGTGCAGACTGGGAGATGAGTGTATGGGAAATGCCACTTTACTTCACATTATGTTGGATCTGAAATGTATGGCTGCGAAAGTTGGACTATAAGGAAGGCCGAGCGCTGAAGAATAGATTCTTTTGAACTATGGTGCTGGAGAAGACTCTTGAGAGTCCCTTGGACTGCAAGGAGATCAAATCAGTCAATCCTAAAAGAAATCAACCCTGACTGTTCCCTGGAAGGCCAGATCCTGAAGTTGAAGCTCAAATACTTTGGCCACCAAATGAGAAGGGAGCACTCACTGGAGAAGACCCTGATGCTGGGAAAGATTGAAGGTCAAAGAAGACGGGGACAGCAAAGGATGAGATGGTTAGACAGTGTCATCGATGCAACGAACATGAAATTGAGCAAGCTTCAGAGGACGGCGGAAGACAGAAGGGCCTGGCGTGATCTGGTCCATGGGGTCGTGAAGATTCGGAGTCGACTGTGTAACTGAACAACAACAACATGTTGGATCCAGCCAGTTTTTCGCTTTATCTCACAGATTTCTCCTTCTTGCTATTGCTCAATTCTGCATAGCCACATTTGGGCTCCAGGATCCCCAGGATAGCCTTGTTGGATGGTCAAAGGAGACCCCCTCCACTTGTTTTCACCAGTAGAAAAGCTGACAGAAGCCAACACATAGTACAGATCTTTCAGACTGCTCCTCATTCGATCCATTTAAACAGCCCATTGAAATCAAGGAAACACACACACACACCCTTTAGTAGGAGATGGTCCAGCCTATGTTTTCTAGGGAGTTCTGCAACTGGAGCGCCCAGTTTTTTAAAGTGCCATTATTAGTTGCATGGGGGGCACAATTCTGATTGGGACCATAGTGTGAGGGGTTTCAAGTTTCTCCCTGTGATATTTTCCCAACCTGAGATGATCCTGAGGAGCCACTCCTCATCTATGGCAATTAAGAAAGGAGAGTTGGAGGCAGGGTAGATGCAGCAAAGCAGGGATACCTTGAGCGATGGGTGGTGCTTCTGTCAGGTGACGTCAACACACTTGGTCTATCCAGATTTCAGGGGAAGGGATCTCCCATTCTGGATCGTCCTGGTCTCCTTAAACAGGCTGGGAATTAAAGCTAGGGAAAATTCCATGGCACATCTTGATTACAAACAATAACTTTGAATACCACAATAGATCTGTAGTTATGCAGGTATATGTGCACTCTTTGCTTGCCCTTTGCACACTAGGTACTGGGATGGTATTTTGAAGACTTCTTCTCTGTCTTGTAGGATGCCTAATTCCACTGAGGATCTTTGATTCTTGCTTAATGGACAAAAAATAGTCTTCCTCTCCAGTTGATCCATTTTCTGTGAAATTAAAATATACCACTCTTCTTACTTTGCTTTAGGTCCGTGAAATGCTGCGAATGAGAGATTCCAATGGAGCCAGGATGCTGACGCTAATAACTGAACAGTTTATGGCAGACCCACGGCTTGCTCTTTGGAGGCAACAGGGAACGGGCATGACAGACAAATGCCGGCAGCTATGGGATGAGCTGGGTGAGTTTCCTCATCAGTGTCAGAGGAGGAGTTCCACGACAGGTGACAGTTTGTCCAACTTTGTGATCGAAGAGGCTGAAGAAGCCCTTGTGGAGCACAGATCTCAAAGGCTGCAAGAACTCTGGTGATTTGTTTAGGACAGGTGGCTTTGGGGGATAGTTAGAAGCTGCGCAGAGCTAGAAGGCGGCATTCCGGGGTGGGGGTGACTATGAGAGACAGAAACAGTTAGTGATTTCTTGGCAGTGAACATTTCTCTAGTGGTGAACATTTTTCCTGAGATTTAACATCTGAGTTTAGAAAGACTGTTTCCCCCCCTCATTTTTTATCTCAATAGGAAATGGAAGATGCATTTATAGAGCTAAGTCCCCTTCAGGCCTTATCTCTGCCTTTTGGCAGCCAGGATAAGTGCTTTCCACTGTAAGTCAGGGTGGTGGAAGCCTAGAGGCTCTCATACAGCCACCTCTTTGAACTTCACTTGTGTTTAAAACTGGGTTTATATTCCAAGACAATCTGCCATAGCCTGTCATTGGGGAGATGGTGCTTCTTTTGGAGCAGCTAGTGAATTGTGTGAGCCAAACAACCTGCTCTCTTCTTGGACCAAAATGCACAGTCCTTGATGTAGCTTTGTGTTCAGATTGTTACAGCAGCCTAGAACAAGTGCAGCAGAGATCATCCTGATGGTAGAGATGGTGAGTGAAATACAGTTGCCAGCTTGCGCTCAGGACTTTGTCTAATGTCTACCAAAAACAAAAACCCAACAAAAAACAGACATACTGCTGTTGAGGAATGATCAAATATGATAACACAGTACAAAGATATATATTTGCACAAGCATACTTCTGGCACTGATAGCCATTATAGGGTGGAGTATGGAGGCAAGAGAATGCTAATATGGAGAAAGAAAGGAGCTGAGAAGGGTAAGCCATGGTTGCTGGAGAAGGCTCTGGGCTCTCTCTGCATTCTACTCTGCAATTTGTTCCTGAGTCTCTAGCATATATTGTCCACATTTTTCCAAAAGGGTTTTTGGTTTTTTATGGCCTGCAATTCAGAGTATGCACCATAACCTGTGAAAGACAAGGAAAGAGACACAATGGGTTGGAGTACAGGCTTTCAGTTGAAGACAGGATATTTACAGTGCTATGGAATGTCACAAGGTTGGATCCTGTGGCTCCATTCCTGTAATGCCAGCTGTTTTCCTCCAGTACAAAGGAGCCTTCTGTCAAATGAGGAGGGATGCTCTTAGTCCAGGAGGAAAGTGCTGCCCTTAGTGGAACAGAGTCATGGGATCCAACCCCATTGAATTAATAAAGAAGTAGTTGTTCACATTTCTTATTTAAAGCAGCATACGCTCTGCTGCCTTTTAAGGGCCTGTGCAGACTGTTACTCCTGTCCCTCCCTGCCAAATATTCTTAAGTGAACAAACACGTGGACAAGGGGGACCCAGTAGATGTTGTTTACCTTGACTTCCAGAAAGTTTTTGATAAAGTTCCTCATCAAAGGCTCCTAAGTAAGCTCAATAGTCATGGGATAAAATGTACAAGTCCTTTTGTAGATCAAAAACTGGCTAATTCATAGGAAACAGAGAGTGAGTATAAATGGGCAATTTCTCAGTGGAGGGTGGTAAGCAGTGGGGTACCGTAGGGATCAGTACTGGGTCCGGTGCTTTTTAAGTTGTTCATTAATGATTTGGAGTTGGGAGTAAGCAATGAAGTGGCTAAATTTGCAGATGACACAAAATTGTTCAGAGTGGTGAAAACCAGGGAGGATTGTGAGGCACTCCAAAGGGATCTGTCGAGGATGGGCAAGTGGGCAACAACGTGGCAAATGGGGTTCAATGTGGCCAAGTGCAAAGTGATGCACATTGGGGCCAAAAATCCTAACTATAAATACACATTGATGTGGTCTGAACTGGCAGAGTCTGACCAAGAGAGAGATCTTGGAGTCGTAGTAGATAACTCACTGAAAATGTCAAGACAGTGTGAGACTGCAATAAAAAAGGCCAACGCTATGCTGGGGATTATTGAGAAGGGAATTGAAAACAGATCAGCCAGTATCATAATGCCCCTGTATAAATCGATGGTGCAACCTTATTCGGAATACTGTGTACAGTTCTGGTCACCACATCTCAAAAATGATATTATAGCATTGGAAAAAGTACAGAAAAGGGCAACTAGAATGATAAAAGGGTTGGAACACTTTCCCTATGAAGAAAGGTTAAAATGCTTAGGGCTCTTTAGCTTGGAGAAATGACGACTGAGGGGTGACATGATCGAGGTTTACAAGATTATGCATGGGATAGAGCAGGTAGAGAAAGAAGTACTTTTCTCCCTTTCTCACAATACAAGAACTCATGGACACTCAATGAAATTGCTGAGCAGTAGGGTTAGAATGGATAAAAGGAAGTACTTCTTCACTCAAAGAGTGATTAACACATGGAATTCACTGCCACAGGAGGTGGTGGCAGCTACAAGCATGGATAGCTTCAACAAGGAATTGGATAAACATATGGAGCAGAGGTCAATCAGTGGCTATTATTGGTATAGATAGGAACTCTCAGTCTGGGGCAAGTGATGCTCTGTATTCTTGGTGCTTGGGGGGGCAACAGTGGGAGAACTTCTAGTGTCCTGGCCCAACTGATGGACCTCCTGATGGCACCTGGTATTTTTGGCCACTGTGTGACAGAGTGTTGGACTGGATGGGCCATTGGCCTGATCCAACATTGGCTTCTCTTATGTTCTGATGTACTGGGGATCTGGGTAATTTCCCCCTCGCTTCACCCTGCCCAGCTAATTTTAATCTTGAAACTCTTATTTTAAGATGTCCATCAATGTTTTTATGCTGGGCTGGATTTTAATGCTGAATTTTAATTACGGTAATATCTTCCAATGTTCTGTTTTTATTAATTTTGTTTTGTAAGCCAATTTAGACAGATTCCTGGAGAGGCAGCATAAAAATGTCCCAAACAAACAAATAAATAAAGTGTCTATTGCGGCTGTGACTGATGTGTGAACTGAGTGTTATGGGCACCCGATGTCACTTGTGACAAATTATGCAAGGGGTTTTCCCTGCACCTCATGCTAGAATTTTATTTAGGGACTGAGGTTCTACCCCTGTCCTAGTGCAAAAGAGGATGCTGTTTAAGAAGAAAAGAGACAAATGGCGGAAGTGAGCCACAGTTTCATTAATTCTTAGCTCTCTTGGGTTTTTTTCTTTTTTAAAGGCTATGCATGTATCTTCTTCTCTTTCTTTTTTAATAACAGCGAACAGAGCTAAGCTGTTGCCCTGCAGCAAGGCTTACTCAACCCTTTTCACTACTTAACCCTTTTAATCCACTGTGCTTTTTATCTTCTGAGGAGGTCCTTACTCTTTACTGACCTTTGTAGCAGGAGAAAGCTGGCCTTCCTAAATGATACATGGTTTTGAGTTCATGCTGAATTATACAGCCAGGAAGCCGATGTGAACAAGAAACTGTGATATGCTGCCTTATCTGTAATAAATTTAACAAGAAATTTTCAATAAGGACTTTTATAAAGTAATTGGTGTAATTAATTATAGTGATTAGAAAATTAATAAATACTTACATTATTCATCATTCTATATAAAGAAGAAATTGATGCATAACATGCTTTCGAAGAACAAAGAGAGACTAGTCCACAACAGGTGTAAAAATATAGCCCAGTAAATAATATGAATCCTTTGTGTAATCCGGTCAAGCAGTCAAAGTATAAGTCCTTACACAATAAGTCAGTCCAGAGGTCCTAAAGTTCAGGAGAGGTCCAAGAGCCCAGGAACAAGGTATCTAGGCCCGGTCACACGGGCCAGATAACGCGGGGGGGGAGGCGTGGCTATTTGTGCCTATTTGCAGGGTTAGTCCCCAGCATTTCCAGCTAAAAATGCATTTATACAGTGCTTTCATCATTCCAAACACTTCACATATGTTATGCCAGTAATCTTTATAACAACTTTGAAATATAAGGCAGTATTATTATTCCCATATTGCCAGTGGGGATCTTAAGGAGTGCCAAGTTGAAGATCTTGGACAAACTCCTATCTGTCTAGGGCTCTGGAGAGCTGCCACCAGCCATTCAAGACAGTACTGATAGATGGAACAGCAAAGAACAGCGACAATTCAAGAGAAATGGACCATATACTGGAGATGGATGGAAGAAGAACAAAGGAACAATGTTCAGTGGAAGCTTCAAACACTATGCCCCTGGCTGAGAGAAAAGGACTAAAAACAACAGACTGGTGGGAGGGGGGAAGGACGGGGAAAAACTGTTAAATTATAATGGAATATGAAAATGTATATCAGGAAGATAATAATAATAACAATAAAAATATCTATACAACAAAAAAGATAGATGGAACAGTAGTAAAAGGCAGATTTATGTGTTTAAGAGTTAATCTTAATCCATTTGATTAGGGTTTCCAAATGGATTTTAGGTTGGAAACTTTGTTAACCTGGCAGATTACCTATATCAAAGATTGTGACTGTCTTAATTATCCTAGGTTTCTCAGTGGCTTTCAGTACCATTATCTGTAGCAGGGATCTTTTTGTAGAAAAAGAGCTGCAGGAGCTCATTAGCATATGGTATGCTAATGAGCTACTAGGCTATTAGCATATGCCATGCCCCCTTCTCTCTTCGCTCCCCCCCCCGCAGGCCAGCTGGGGAAGGGAAGGGGAGGCTTTTGAAGATGCCTTCCCCCCCCCTTTGCTTCCCCTTCTGACATCACTTCCGGTGATGTCAGGGGGCATGGCAATGGATTCAGAAGGGTGGAACTCTTTTTAGGATTGCACACTTAGATTTTGTCCAGGCTAGAGATGTAAATTTTCCAGAAATTTTGAGGGCATATGGGAAGAATCAGTTTTAAGTTTGTTTTTTCTTTTTAAACCAATATTTGGGTGGAAATTTAAATATATTCTATATTAATTCTTTTATCAAACTAAGCTTACTTTATTGCTTTAAAGAACATAAATGCATAATTGATAACTTTGTTAG